CAATGGAGATGAAGGCATCATGAGTTGTGGTTGACATAGGGCCACATTAACCATATGGTCATGGATCGCCAGAAATAGATGAAACTGCTTCGTATAGTTTTGGGGCTGAAGTGCAGCACTGGACAAAAGAGCTTGTAGGAAGTGATCATAAGTTTTTTGACACAATGTGGACCAGTAAAATGTGTTGGTGCTGCAAAGGAGATCATATAACGGCTTTGCCAAAGCTGCGTAACCACATATGAAATGGCAAAAGAAACCAATCCCTCTCAAGAACCTTCGTAATTGTGACAAAGTGGATGGTACAGGGACTTGAGCCAGTTGCTCTGCTTTGGGCCTGTAAATCTCGATGCCCCATGCACTGACAATAGCCTCCTTTCAGGTACAAAGAACTGGCACTTTTGCGGGTTGAGTTGGACATGAAAAAGCTGACACCTTTGAAGAATTTCCCAAAGATGACAACTTCTTTGATTGTGCATGTGGTGAATTTGTCCATATGGGAGTGTAGCGTAAGGTCGTGAAATATGAACATCATCACGCTGAAAGGTTGATGGCGCATTCACCAATCCAAAAGGGAGAACCCCATGGAGTGCAAAAATAGGTCTTAAGTTGATCTTCTTCTGTTTATAACCTGAGAACTCATCCCATCAAGAATGGAGTTGGGAAGTAATCTCACCTTGTTAAGAGCCCTACACACACTTGTAAATTTTCATTAGCTTTACAACCAGCACTATGGATGAAATCCAATCAGCAACCTCTACCTGATAGATAAAATTGGATTGAAGTAGTTGTTGAATCTCCTATTTGATAAGGTTCAAGAACAGGATTTGCAAACACGAAAGCTTCCACAGATTCATGCTCCTCCGAAGACAAATAATAAACAAAGGCTTCAACTGTGTGGTGTTATCAGAAAAATTACTTTTCAATTCTAAATAAGTTGACATCTTCAAGAACTCTAACTGTGAGTCTGGCTATGCTGATATCTTTGGGACTATGGCTCCTGCTATATTGGAGTCTTTGAGAACAGGACTTGGGCTTTGGCTCCAGCTATGCCAGTGTCTTTGAGAATGGTCCCAACTAGGGCTTAGACTCGGGCTATGCTATTATCTTTAAGAACGGTTCCAACTGGGGCTTTGGCTCTGGCTATGCCACTTCGAGAACCACTCTGGCTATGTTGGTATCTTTGATAGCAGTCTCTACTTCGACTATGACTCTGGCTCCAGCTGTAGCAGTATAAAAAGAAAAAATAGAAAAACAACAAGATCACAATAAAGAGCAAACATTCATCTCATAGTACCTCTAGGCTCAAGAATTATTGCCACTAGTGAGCTAGTATCACCTTTGGGAGCAGCTACTAACTATTGGGAAATCTTACATGAAGGAATTCTCATTGCATTTTTGACAGCTGAGACAAAATGAGAAACTTATAGTAAGAGAGAATTTATTATCAATAAAAATCAATAAACTGAAGTGGGTATTCCAGTGGGTTTCAAATCTTTCTCTGATAGAATCAGTTATAGAGAATCACATAACTTACGTTCATCTATAAGAAAGACAGCAAAGTTGCCTCCATCAAGAGCGAGAAGCGTGTTGCCTTGTATAGCTACCAATGTAGTTGTGTAGTTCGTAAGCCACAACCAGAACTAGTAGATGAGAAAAATCAAGAAGGTACTAACAAAAACAATTAGACTACTTGTTGGGTACAGCCAAGAGAATGCCAAAGGACTAAGCATCATGAGACACCATGGAACACCAAGGGACAAGAGAGAGTATATAGAGAGTGTGCTTGAAAATACTTTTATTGTGCTCTTTTCTTTGTTTTTCTTTGGAGTGAACTAGAATGTTAAGATTTTAGGACATAGTGGAGTCTAGATTATAGCACCATAATAGCCAGATGAAGTAGCTTCTAAGGAGGATCTGGATCAATACGTATAAGATTTTGAAAAAATTAGACAGCTTGAGTCCAAAGCCAAAATCATGATGCTGAACTTAAAAATGGAGCTATGGCATCAAAGCTTTCAATCCTAATAGGTGTATAGATTTTTGTAGTGGATTGTGGATATGTGCATGAGAAAATGACAAAGAAGCCTTTAAAAAGGACAAGAGCTGAACAAGATATAGAAATTTTATAATTTGTTCACCTTGATGTTGTGCAAATGGGTCAAAGCATCACTATTGGAGGAGCAAGTTGCTTTCTGCTCACTGTGGATCATATGAGTAGATAAGTCTTCATGATTCTACTCAAGAAAAAAGCATAAGTTTGGTCAAAGTTCCAAGCCTAGATGGTTAGAGTTAAGCACAAGACTAGAAAACATCTCAAAACTATTCACACTAATGGACGGTTAAAGTTTCTAAACATAGAGCTTATGCTGTTCTTCAGAAGAGGGAATTTCTCAATAAAAGTTGGTGGTGAAAGACTTCAAGTTTCTTATATATCCATGCTTTAGAAGGAGTCTGACCATTGTTGATAAGCAATGTGTGAAGTGCTTCTCCAAAAACATGAAACAATGTTTTTTGGCTTTTATTATAGAATAGACTGCATTTCTACAACTCCATTCTGACCATGTTTATATGCCTTCGAGTGTTTGGAAGTCTAGGTTTTTGCTATATACCTCATGTTGAACAGCTGACAAAGATGAATGATCAAAGCTACTTTTGTGGGATATAGATCAAACAGCAAGGACAATCATCATGAATTCCCTTCAAACCAACAAGTTGTTCCTAAATAAATGCCTCAAGAAGCACCAAAAGCTATGGTACAATAGTAGATAGAGCCAATCTCACCTCATTGCCATGGCAAACAACATAGTTTTACTTGGAGCGCTCCAATTCAGTCAGGCTTACTAAAGAACCAACATCCTACTAAGAAGCTCTCAACTCTGCTAATGCTGAACAATGGTTAGGAGGCATGAATGATGAGTTTCACTAAACACAACACATTCACACTTGTTCCATGACAAGAAGGTATGAATGTTTTGGCTAACAAGTGGGTTTTTAAGACAAACTCAGAGAGTTAGTTAAGGTTTTTTCCCAATAACATCACTTCATGTTGTTCTTGCTTTAGCTGCATATTATGCTTTGGAGCGCCATCAAATGGATGTATAGAATGCATTCGTACATGGAGATCTCAAGGAAGAAGTTTCTTCATGAGTTTAGGCTTTGCTGGGGCTCATGCAGATTGGAACATCTATATTAAGTAGGCAGATGGAGTTCTAGGAGTTATAGCAGTGTACGTGGATGACTTGATTCTAGTAGATTTGCAGTGACTAAAAAGCTTCTAGTGGAGCTTAAAGCTGCTTTATCAGCCTGATTCAATATGATAGACCTGGGAGAGTTATCATACTGTCTTGGCTTGCAGATAATTCATGACTGTGCTAACAAATCTATTTTTTCTTTATCAGGCCAAATTCATAATAACCATTCTGGAGATATTTCTTGGAGAAGTGTTCATATACACCATCTGGTTAAAGTCTTTTGCTTGATGCATCCACAGCCTGAGGAGGAGAAAAATGAGATGGCCACCAGGCCATTTCATGGTCTTGTGGGTAGTCTTCTCTACTTATCCATAATCAAGGACACAAACACTAGCAAGCTCAAGTCATTGGATGCAAATTATCTTGGAGATCCAAATGACAGAAAATCAAAAACTAGTTTGTGTTTCAACATGCTTCAAGGAGCAATTAGCTGGACAAGTAAGAAGCAGTCAATGGTGGCAACTACAACATGTGAAGTAAAGTACATGGCTCTTAGCCAAAGAAGCTATTTGGTTCAGGAATTTATTTCAGGACTTCAGATCTGCATAAAAATCCACACCAACTCAACTCTACAATGACAATATCTCAGCTGTGAAACTTGCTCACAATCCTATACTTCTTGGCAGCACAAAACACATTGAAACCAGACTTCACATGATCAGAGATCACATCACCCACCAGCAAATATCTCTCAACCACACCCCTGATTGGGGCAGCCGAGAGAAACACTTCTTTGTTTTGCACTATGGCTGCCTTGGCTAACCAAGAGTGTCCTATGCTTTGGCTGAGGGGGGAGTGTTGGTTACAGCCAAGAGAAAGCCAAAGGACGGAGTTGGCCTCCAAACTGCTGAGTGCTTTTATTGTGCTCTTTTCTTTGTTCCAATACTACCTTAGCGTTCAATGGGCCACTTCCATCAATATCAGGTTCATCATCTTCCCATCTATTGGCAAAACGTGCTTCTTTTGCTGAAACTTAGTTCATTAGCTTTGACAAGTTGCTCATCCACAATGCAGTTGCACGTGATAAAGCTCTTAGTATGTTAGGATTACTTAGAGAAAGCCGTCCGTGTGGCTTCCAAAGCTCGTTAATTTTTTTCTCTGGCAACAAGGCAATCTGGATGAGAAACAGGATATACTACTGTCCTTCACAGTAATCGGCAATCTACGAACAACACTTCCTCTGCTAGCCAGCACCAGTTAGCATTCGACGGTGCTGCCAAAACTTACATGAAAGATTGCAGTTTTCAGGTGATTCCTTTGCGCCGTCACCCACTTGACGCAGTTCACTTCTCCACTAAGCACGTCTACCTTCGCCTACCATCGCCAAATGCCCTTGCTATATCCCAAAAAATTGTGAGACGGAATCAAAAACACTTGATAAGCGTGAACCAAGTCAATGGCTCGTAGCTCGAAAATGCTTGATCATACATCATGCCAGACAATGTTGCTAGACTGGCTCATCAATAAAGCTGCAGCAATCCCTTAACGTTCCGGATTGTTTGACAAAGCTGTTTCTAGTAGTCGCCAACTTCTTTCCAAATACTTACCTGGTTAGAATGGCAGATTGACGAAGTTGGCATCTCTCTCATCGGACAAGGCAATACAGTCTTGTTCCACGAGTTGTCTAGAAACTCCTTGCTTAAGGCACAGTTCTTAGACTTGGTGAATTGGGATTTCTTCCAGACAACAGTTTGGACATGCCATAATATTAGTCTCCATGTTCGAGTAAAAATCCTTAAAAGGAGGCTGTGGAGAGAATTTTATTTATTTCTAAAAAGGTATGACAACACTATAGTAATCTTGTTTTCATTTCTTTCACTCACATATCCCTGAAACACCCCTACGCTGATTTTCTGACTGGGTGTGTTTCTTTTTTCTTCTGTACAGAGACCCAAACATGAAAGAAAAAAATGGAGAACGCAGCAGCAGCGGGAAGATTCCTTGGGAAAAAAAGAGCAAAGAATTGGCGAAGAAAAAAGAAGAAAAGAATTAGTGTGTCAATCAGCTGACTTCGTACTTTCTCCACCTCTTCATGAAAAACTTGTTCATGGGGCTCTCGTGAGCATCACCGCTGCTGCTGCCGTGTTGTTCCAAAACTTGAACCTCTTTCGACAAGCTTTGCACCATTTTCATCTGGTTCTGGCTCTCGGTTTGCTTCGTTCGATTAGCTTCCTTGGCCACCTTTCGCCCCTGAAACGAAAAAAGTATAATCATCTTGAGTTCGAGCAGTGCAAAACATGGACTTCCGAAGAGAGAACTTACGTCTTGGAAGGGAAACTCCTCGGCTTCCAACATATGAACAACATGTCCCATTCTCGGCCTCTTGCCAGCGTCGGGATCCACGCACCTCAAAGCGATGAGCAGCGCCCTCTTGAGAGCTCTTGGCGATGGTTTCTCCTCCAGCCTTGGGTCCGCCACCTCGTCCGATCGTCTACTCCCGACCATCATCTTGAGCCAGTCTACAAGATTCACCTGGAATTCTTTTGATGAGATCTAAGTTTCTTTTGGACGAGTAAATACCTCGCCAGCAGGCCTCGCATAGTCGACTGGGTCTCGTCCCGTCACGACTTCCATAAGAAGCACACCAAAGCTGTAGACGTCACTTCTCTCATTCAAAAGCCCCGTGTTGGCGTACTCAGGAGCGACATATCTACACACACAAAAAGATTGTTTGATGATGGATGAGATGAGATTGATTCCAAAGCGATTCATACCACATTCATGACACAAGAGAGGAAATAAAACGAGGGGAAAAGAAAAACTACCAAAGGAAACCACCATCAAAGTCGAAAGCTCTCTCTATCGGCAGTTATTGACAACATTTGATGCGGGCTATGAAGGAGGCAGGCAAGCGAGCAATCCATCGATCATACATTCAAGAGAGGAAACCAGCAAAGCTAGCAAATCCGCTACGAGCTATCCATCCATGCATTCACTCGTCCAGCGTGTTGTTCTTTGTAGCAAAAAGAGGTTTGCAGCAGTCAGCCAGTTCTCGAGGGGGAGAGCGAGCGAGCATTGAATACGTACCCGAAAGTTCCCATGACTCTGGTAGTTACATGGCTCTTTTCCGATCCCAGCAGCTTTGCCAAGCCAAAATCCGAGACTTTAGAGTTCCAGCGAGAGTCGAGCAATATGTTGCTCGCTTTGATATCCCTGTGGACGACCTTGGGCTCCAGAGCTTCGTGTAAGTAGGCGAGCCTGTGATGAAAGAAAGAGTTTGATATCAATCAATCAGTTCTTTCAAACTTTCTTCTTTGGTTTTGGAGCTTACGCTTTGGCGGTGCCGAGAACGATCTTCATGCGAGCATCCCAGCCTGGTGTTTTGGATAGGGCCACCGGGCCGTGGAGCCACTGTTCTAAGTTCCCATTGTCTACGTACTCGTAGACGAGCATTCTAAAGAGAAGCAAACGTAAGAGCACTGTTTGGAGGAGCTAGGCTAGCTTTTGAAAGATGGAAAAAACTTTGTACTGTCTAATGTATATCACCTGTAGTTCCCTTCCACACAGTAGCCCAGCAATCGCACCAGATTCTTGTGCCTCACCCTTCCAATCGCCTCCACTTCCACTCGAAATTCTCGTTCGGCCTGGCCCCTGGCAATGCAAGTTGACAAACTTTGAGCCAAAACCTCAAACTCACAAAAAGAAGAAACCAAGGAAGCTCGGTCTCAATCGAGAAGAAGTAGAACTTGGAAGAACTCACGAATCAAGGGAAGAGTTTGAGAGGTCTTACTTGTTGTTGATGAGGTTCTTGACAGCCACGAGTGTATCGTCCGGCAATCGCCCCCTGTAGACGACGCCATAGCCGCCCTCTCCAATCACATTGCCCGGGGCGAAGCCGTTAGTGGCGACATCGAGATCCCGGAGCGTGTACCAGTGCCCCCACCCCAGATGCGAGACCTCGGGAACCGTGGAGCGCGAATCAATCGACCCAACATCACTCTCAAACGAGCTCCGCCGTGGAGTTCCAGCCGCCGCAGCTGCCATGAACACACCCCGATCCATCTCCACCACGCTCTCATCCACCGAGACCACTGTGGGAGCTCTGAGATCGTCTTCTTCGTCGTGCTGTTCTTCCTTCTTCTGTGGAGGGACGACCACACACACTGGCTCGTCGTCCACCACGCGAACAACGAGCTTGTGATCGTCGTGAGAAGGAGGAGGAGGAGGAGCGGCAGCAGCATTGGGGGCGAATGGCGAGAAGGGCGAGTTGTAGTGATGGCTCTTGTCAATCCGGACCTCCTGGATCTCTTTGGAGACATTGGGGATGTTGTGGAGAGTGGTGAATGTGTCGTCGATCTTGCGCGATTTGCTGCGACGGGAGCTGAGCCAGAGCGAGAGCAGCAGGATGAAACCGATGAAGGCGCCCACGGCAATGCCCAGAACCACCCATACCTTGAGCCCAAACAGAGACGTCTTCTCCGAGAGCTTGTCGTTCAAAACCCCCATCTCCAAAATTCGCGCTCGCTGCTGGCCGCCCGGAGAATCCAGCTACATGGGCGACGACCCAATTGCGCGCTCTGATCGGATCCGCGGCGCCCACTTGCTGTAATCACCCCGGCATGCTGGATTGATCGCTGGTACTACGCCCCCTGCCCCAAACAATCCCCTGCTCGCTATCTAGGGCGCGGGTAGTCGATGCGATGTCGATTTGCGAGGAGGAAGTCTGTGAATGCGGATGCAGCAGAACCACCACCACTCCTGCTTGACAGAGAAATGCAGCCCAAATCTGGCAAGAGCTTGGCAGGCTTTTGGAGTGAATGCTTTGTCTTGGGCTGTTGTTGTTCTTGCCAGAGATTTGGGATGAGGAGGAGAGGAGGAAGAAGAAGATCTATCAATCGATATAGCCAGGCAGGCCGAGCTAAAGGGCTTATCTCCTCCTCCTGGAATCGCTAAAGAAAAGAGCTCCTCACCAGCGAGATCTTTGGAGCTAATCGAGACGAGACAAAAGCGAGTAGCAGCAGCACCAGTGCTCTGTTGCGATCGGTGGAGACACAGCCAGCATGCGAGACAATCGAACAAAGCTCCGAGCTTTTAAGATGGGGAGGATGAACAAAACGCGAAGGAGAAAAAGGTAATAGCAAGACACTGTTATAGGTTATCCGCCATCGCCAGAAATTGCTCCATAGCTTTTATATATTTCTTCTTTCCTCTTCTCGAGCTTTTGCGAGTGTACTTTAAAAAAGCATTGGCCCCTGGTGGGTCGATTGATCGATGGATCGATCGAGCGAGACCAATTACTATAGCTACTTTTAATAAGACTTCGCTAGAATGGAACGATCACAAGTTTGTTCACTGTCCACCTTGTAGAAGGAATAATCTTGGCCCGTGGCACAGTAGAAAATTCTTAAGTCTTTTCTGAGTTTTCTTTAACTTCAAAAAAAATAAAAAAGAGTGATTTTCAAAGCTTGAGCTCGAGGCTATGGCTATGGAAGAAGTGAGGTGGAGGTATAGGGACATGTCCCCTGCAAAGTCCAAGTCTGAATGCCGCCAAAGGTGACCGAAAAGAGCCTTGTTTCTAGAGATTAGAAATTTGTGGGAAAATTGGGATGTATCATCGATCATGCCATGTCTGATATCTTTTTGTGAGTTGCCTGCCAACAGGGTTATCTATCGCTGGGAAGTATTAGGGAACAAAACTATAAAGAAACACTACTATAAAATCAAACAAATCAAAACCAAGTTAGCATTTGACCATGATATATAATTCTAGCACCTTTTCTTGTCATGCTGTGGTCTGCTACCTAAGATGCAGATGCACTCTCAAACGCAAACATACTTACGAACAACACAAGCTTGAAATTGAACTAAAACACAACAATACTTTGTATTTTCTAGATTTAATTAGAGGAGCATTTGATGCTGCACACAAATAAGCAATTTTTCGCAAATTTGACGCGGCAGTGAGCTTCTTGGACTCCATAGTTTCTCATGAGGGTAGTGTTTTCATAGAGACTGAGATGCAGCCTACATATGAGTTTCTTGATGCGCAAAGATTAGAACTCAGAATTGTTGACTACTACTACGGATTTGCCTCACAGAATTTGTTTTGAAAGAATATTACTACATGTTTCTGGGGTCTTCCAGCGCTGAACTGGATGCATGAGACCACTTACATGGATGCAATGCAACCTCACTCACTCATACTCCTGTCCCACTGATCTTGATTATTGGATTTGATTTCCTAAGGATGGCTGATCCAAATGCCGATTGTTGTGGAGCATCTATCATAACATCAATCAATAAGTCAAGGAAACAAGATCAAGACACACAAACCTTGTTTTGGTTTGAAACAGGGAATTAAGATTGTAATGAAAGAAAGTGCGCTTTGAGAGGCCAGGAAATTGTATAAGATTGTCTGTCGATGCTTTGCTGAATATGACAAGAAGCCGAGTTCTAGAAAACATTTTTTGTTTCTTAGCTTTGATTTCTTTTCCTTTGTTTTTGTTGGTGGTGGTGACGGTGAGACGGTGATCGAGCTGCTCTTGTTGGAGAGTCCAGGGGGTCTTTTCAATCGCATCCCAAACAAGCACGCAAAGATTTGGTGCGGGGAAGAAGAAGAAGAAAACGAGGAGAAAGAACAAGGATGAAGAACAAGACCGAGACCCAACCCAACACGGTATCACACCGCACGACTAGCGCATTTTCTTCATTTCTCGATCAATTGAGAGAGAGAGAGATGCTGAGTTTCTTTCAAAACAGCACCATTCTAACAACCTGTTGGACCCAATCTCGCAGGAATTTCGCAATCACAGCTATGTCAGCCGATTCCGGCACTGGGTACCTCTCGATGCTACAGCGATTCAACGAAATTCCTTCTCTCCCCCGCGTTCCCGCCAATAGAAAAACTGTGATAAACCCTAAATCCTTTGTTTTTCTGGCTTCTTAGGGTTTTGGAGAGGGGATGAAGCTGGCGCTCCCGCAGCAGCAGCTCTGGCGACTGCCGCATCGCATTGGCAGTCGGTTCGTCCATTCGCTGCCGCCGTGCTCTTGCGCAGCACCACAGGGAGGAGGAAGAGGAGGTAGCATTGCGCACTCTCGATTCGTTTCTCTCATTTTTTACTTGAAATGTAGGTGATCTTCTTTCTAGTGTTCAACAGCCTGCTGTTCCCAGACCGACTCTCACCGATGATGAGCTCCGATTGTTTAAGGAATTGCATCCATCGGTATGTGACTTCTTTCCAACAATTCAAAAGAAGGAAAGCCTTAGATTGTCTTCTAGGTGCAAAGTCAGCAGCCAGATGTGGGAGCGTTTCAGCAGCTTCCAATGGTTGTTCCTGCCGAAGAGATTTTGGCATCCGCATTGAAAGCAGCCAAAAGAGTTCCGCCGTCCAAAGGTGTGATTGAGTTTTTCGCAGTTTATCTGTTTTTCTTCTTCCCATTTCATCTGTGTTCCTTCACGACGAGCTCACAGCCATCTCAAACATCGCCAAGAGGGAGCGAAACCGCGGAGCAAGGCAGCTGGATGCGTTGATGAAGGTGAGCTCCATTCTTTGTTTATGTTGGGTGCGGGAATTATCGGTGTTCTCTTCGCAGGAACTCTCAGTCCCTCTTACGACTTACTTCAAAAAGTTCCCCAGGAGCTATGAACTACATGCGTATGAGAGGTCGCTTTTAGAGTTCACACTCGGAAAAGGCAAGTACGAAGAGGTACTGTCCACTCGCACTTGGATTTCACATCTAGTGTGTGTTGTTTCATGCTTGTACTGAAGCAGATCCTTGGCAACGTTTTAACTCTGAGGAAAAAGCTGACTCTGTGCGGGAAGAATATGGCCTCGCTGTGCTCCAAGGTGAGCTCACGTCGCCTCTCTGGCATTTGCTTACTCTCGTGAACCAACTATTTGATGCAGTCAAGCACCAGAAGGGAGGCTGCAGATCTAAAAGATGAGGTGCTCTTTCTTTCTGCTCTTGGATAAAAGTCTTACCACCACTTGTGCAGGGATTTCACGAGATGACTGTTGTGTTCCACGAGCACGTTCAGTACCTTGAGGATCTGAAAGAGACAGCTAAGGTTGACACCTTTGATTGCATTTATAGCGGGATCAGAGAATTTACTAGGTTTACAGACTCTCAGGAAGCTCCCGGTTGTCAATCCTCGCGACCCAATTCTATGCCTAGTCGGAGCTCCGAATGTTGGTAAATCCTCTTTGGTGCGGGTGCTCTCTACGGGAAAGCCAGAGGTTGGAACTTCTTTTTCGGTTTTTGAGTATGTTTCGCTAACTGGGTATCGACCATGCAGGTTTGTAACTATCCATTCACAACAAGAGCTATTTCCATGGGTCATATAATGGATTATGCTTTTTCTTACCAGGTAAGGTGTAAGAACGGCTTTTTATACAGTCCAAGCGTCACCAACCTGATTTGTTCAGGTTACAGATACTCCAGGTCTGCTCAACAGGATTGATGGTGCGACTATAAAACTTGTCGTTTCACTTTCCTCTTCGCTCTGTTGCTAACAGCATTGTATATAACCAGCGGACCGAAACGACATGGAGAAGTTGACTTTAGCGGCACTAGCTTATCTCCCAACGGCTGTTTTATACGTGCACGACCTTACGGGAGAATGTGGTACTAGCGTGCAAGACCAGGTAAAAGCTGGAAATTTTAGTTCATGGCCGGTACTTTACACGATTGCGCAATGAACTTGCAGTTTTATATCTATAAAGAAATTCGAGGAAGATTTCCAAGCCGGCCTTGGATCGCCGTGGTGTCTAAGGCTGATCTCCTGCTCTTCGTGATGGCGAAGAAGTGGATGAGATTGTGCGGTACAAAACTAGTGGACCACCTGGAGCGCTAGGGGTATCAGTGGAGACAAAGCACAACGTTTCCGAGGTAATGTTCTATATCGAAACGTTTATAAGCAAGAAAAGAAACTCACGGAGTTGGCGCTTATTGCAGCTGTCATCGAGGGTTTTGGAAATGCTGAGAAGTATCTCGGATCAAAGTAAAGAGAAAGCCGCTGTGGATGAGGAGTCATAACATTATCCACCGCTCGTCCTAGCAACCATTCAAGCAAAATGGAGCTAAAGCTGTGAGTTTTCGATTTACTCAACACGAAATGATTTAAGCCTTTTAAGAAACTACTATACAGGTGAGTTTTTATCCGCAAGACGTGCCTCTTATAAATACTATGGTCGGATAAGGCTTGGCTGGCTGCTCTTTCGCTGCTAACTGACAGAAGCTCCTCTCATGGCGACATCAGCAGCACTCTCCATCTCCAGCGGCACTGTTGCGTCGAGCTCGTGTCACGTAGGCGCTTACAGCAGAGGTTCAGTGGTGGATGACCCTTGAGTTTTTTGCAGGTGCCCCGAATGGGATGGAGTGGGATTCGTGAGGAACACTGGTTCAAAGCTGACCGTGAACGCTGCAAGGAAGGATAACACCCAAATCGCGTTGCAATGGACGCCGAAAGCTTGGTAAGTTTTCTTTTCTTTTACAGGTTAGGTAGTAGAGTTTTGAGGATTGGATCGTCGATCATGCCATGTCTGATTTCTTCTGTGAGTTGCCTGCCAACAGGGCTGGGAAGTATACGAGTGTTAGTTGAGAGGGCCAGAAAAATCAAGACAAATCAAAACCAAGTTAGCATTTGACCATGATAAAGAATTCCCACTCTCAAACGCGAACATACCTATGAATTAATTAAAACAGGTGATTTATTTAGAGGGTGTCTTCATTTGTCGCTCTAGCATTTGATATAGCACACACAAGCAAACCTTTGGCGATTGATCAGCATCCATTGCAGCGGCCACGGCCGCATTGGCATCCGATTCCACAGTAATCGTCGGTGTTACCACAAAAGCCATACTTGCTGCAACACAGAGAGCCGGGACAATTGCGATTGCCCACATCTTTGCCACAGCAAGGCCCATTCTCACACGGGCCAGCGGCGTGAACGATTCCAATCTCGCCGCTCACAATCAACCATACAAGCAGGAGGGAGCAAACCAAAGCTAGCTTCTTGAATTCCATGAGGACTACCTAGAACTCTTGTGTCCGAGGTACACATCGTATATAAACCCCTAGAATGACCTGGACTCGACCTTGACCTGACTTGACTAGCCCGGACTTTGAACACGACCGTGGCCTTAACGCATACGTCAACAGCGTATGAAGACCGTATGTGCAGACCTGACTATAACTTGCGTGGGAACGTGGAGTTCCTCAGGCCAAAAGTTTGGGCTTTTGCAAACTCGAGCAGAGTGAAGATAGATTGATCAATGGAGCTAAAAGCTGCAGTTTTGCCTGTTGTGCTTGTGCTTGGAATGATACTTCACGTTGCAATGGCTGCGCAAGGAACCGCAACGTACTATGACTCTCCATACACACGTAAGTTGATAATTTTTGTGATTCCATCCATGCATGATCCCCAATTTTCTCTTTTGCTTTGCAGCAAATGCCTGTGCGGATAACAACCTTCCAGCTGATCATATGTTTGCAGCAGGCAGTGCTGCGATTTACATGGGCGGCAGCGGCTGTGGAGACATGTACACCATCAAATGTGTTCGGCAGAACAACCAGGGGCCCTATGGTTGCACCAACAATCCTGGTCCTTACACCATCAAGATTGTGGATTACTGCCCCGAGGGTTGCAATGGGACTTTTGATTTGCCTCACGAGCTGTTCCAGAAGATGGCCGATCCAAATGCCGGCAACATCATTGTGGAGTATCAGAAGATTTGACTTATATAAATCCCACAAAGGATGGTGAGCAAGAGCGACAAAGCAAAGAAATAAGAATGTAATAAAACTTGGGAAGGGACAACCAGGTTCTAGAAAGCATTTTTTTTGTGCTTTGATTTGTGTTTATTTGTTGTTGTTGAGTTGCTCTTGTTGGTAAGTCCCGGGGAACTTTTCAGTCCCATCCCAAAAGAGCACACAAAGATTTCTTGCAAGGAAAAAGAAGAAAGCAAGGAGAATCACAAGGGTAAAGAACAAGACCAGACCCAATGCAGTATCACACCTTTCCCTTTTCTAGTAGAGATGCCAAGTTTCTTTCAATACTGCACCATTCTAACAACCTTTTGGACCCAATCTCACAGGAATTTTGCAATCACAGTGATTGTCACGTGATTTCGGCACTAGGTGCGATTCAATGAAATTCCTTCTCTCCCCTGCTTTCCTGCCAATAGAAAAACTGTGATAAACCCTAAACCCTTTCTGTATTTGGCTTCTTAGGCTTTTGGCACTATTCAAAATCAAGCCTTTTTTATGCATTGGATGTATAATATCTACTTCAGTTAAGTGTTTTTTTTTTTTTTGTCACTTGCGAGTCAATATCACAGGTGTAGAGTTTTACATCAAGAGTGCCTTGCACTAGTATTGGAAAATTTATGCTTGGCCATATTTGGAGTAAACCATTAAAAAATTATTGACTTTTCTAGATTTTTAGGGTAAACATGTATTTAATTTCATTTCATGGCAACATTACATATGATTTTATTGATAGTTCGTTCATTCCCATTAATCAAAGGTAAGAGCATGAGTGGCACACATACAAGATTTATAGTGCACATTCCCACCACTACCCAAGCAAAAGTGGGTAGTTTCTCCTAGGCAAGTAGGGTTTTTGTTTCGAGCCTGCAAACCATAAAGGATTGGTTATGCAAACTTGATTGAACCATAGACATTATGTAGGAAACACCTCACGAGCACATAATTAGTCACTCAATGTTCTATAGTCAGCATAGCTAATAATCCCACAAGACACTAGCCAACTACTCAATTTGTTAAGATCCACAATGGGACCTCAACTCCAATGCCATCCCACCCATAGCTCTCAATTACATTTGAGTAAACAAAGCACTACTTAACGTTGCATATGCTGCAATATAATGTGGAATCTCTAGCATGTTTCTTGCTCCCCTCCTTCTTTGGAAAACAGTAGCTTAAGCATATGATCTAGATGCCTTAGGCCTATAGTGGTGTCTAGTTTGTAGACCAACACCAACTATGCTAATACAAGCCCATCTAGTGCCACTCCTAATAGCCCATCTACACCTACCACTACTCCATTGACCATATCAACTATCACAACTTCATCTATTAATACAAATGCTACTACTTGGCCATCTACCTCCTAGAGCAACAAGCAGCCTAACTTAGTGAGTTTTTTATTGGTACCCACTTTTTTTCCATGTGTTTTTTTGTGCAAAGTGAGTTAACAATACTACCACACCACTAGGCTCATAATTCCCCATTAGCATTTTACAGCCACTCCCAAAGGTTATAACTTGTTTTTTTTTTCTTGGGACTGATTTTCTTTTTTGTTGTATCAGACTCATTCACCACTTGTTGTTAGCAATGCATACCTATGCTAATAACAATCAACAATCCTTATTCATGTTGTCATGGATGTTATGGCAACTAGTCCAAAATCATTGGTGGCATTTCATTGTTGACACCCTTGGTCCTTTGGCCATTCACCATAACCTCTATTACCAAGTGGATTGCAATCCCTAAAACTTGCATTTACATTTCAAAAGAGAGTTAGTGGTGAATGTGATGGAACTTGATGAGTTAACAGTGGACCTTCCAAAAGTGTCTTATATAAGGTGGTTTATACTTTAACATTTCTTTCTACCTTGATATAGTTCAAGATGTGATTTTACTATTGCTCCAAGCTTCAAGAATCAACCTTCATCCATTATTATCATAAAAGTGTTTATTTAGTGTTTAAGGTAGTTCAATAACAATCAAGTTTATGCTAAGGCTGCATAATTTGACATTAGCTCTATTTAGTCTTATGTAAACCACAAATTTTTCCTTTCCAATTTGTTAACTTACATTGTCTATCCGACTAACACCTGTAAGCGACTAATTTTTCCATTCTACTTTAGTCACTTAACCACACCTCCGACCACTTGGAGGAGTCTCATTCACAACCTCCATAAGCCCAACTCAGGACTTGGGGCTTGCTAGCCCCGAGAATGGCATCCATGCCACTCAACCTTAGCACTTGGTCCAAGTGCTTCACGTGTCCGATCCCATGATCGACACCCCAAGGTACCACCGACATATCGGCCCGTTACGCTAAGGCCATGCCCATTTACCTTGGTCACACTGGTGGTCCAACACCACCTACATTCCAATCCCGTCTCTCAAAGACTGGGTCATCCATCCATGAGTGGTCATCCCAGATCCACTCCTTAACATCCTTAGGATGCCTACAGACATGGGGAATAGCCTTCCCCAATATCTCCGTTCCGGTCCCCACCAGGTCCCTTTCTGTCCTTGGCTGTGTTTGCCAACACTGCCACTAGATCGAGGCCCACCGGCCCGACCACTAAGTCCCACTATCCTCTAGGACTTCCTCACTGTGTGACTGTGTCCTTGGTCACCACACCGGAGGGCTACCCCTCTTCCTTTCCACAATCTGGGACTTTGGGACACCATTTCGGAACACCGTGGCCTTACGCAAGCCTCATGGGTACTCTCCCCGCCTTTCGTCTTTAGGTGCTCTAGCCATGGGCTTAGAGCGAGGTTCCGTTGAGCCACACCAGGTATCCAAGTAGGTAGTGCCACCCACACTTGGACTGGGAGCATCGGCCAGTCGATCTCCCGAGGGAACTAGAGCCGGCTCTTGAACACTTCACCAAGCTACCCCGCTTGTCGGTCTGTGTTCACTCTAGTCTTGGACTTCCCAGTGGGCAGCTCATCACCCAACACTGGGTCCGGCCTTCCTGGGCCAAACTGGCCTTTCCTGGCCAAACTGGCCTTTCCTGGCCAAACTGGCTCCACTGCAGTCCTCCCCCTTACTATACTTTTGGAGCTCACCAAACCCCCAAGGGTCTGGGAAACGAACGCTTTGGGCTTTCACCCTCTCAGGCTCCGAACTCGGACTCGGACTCGGACTCGGACTCGGACTCGGACTCGGACTCGGACTCGGACTCGGACTCGGACTCGGACTCGGACTCGGACTCGGACTCGGACTCGGACTCGGACTCGGACTCGGACTCGGACTCGGACTCGGACTCGGACTCGGGCTCGGGCTCGGGCTCGGTCTCGGTCTCGGTCTCGGCCTCGGTCCCGATCTCGGTCCCTATCTCGGTCTTGGTCCCGGTCTCGGTCTCGGTCCCGGTCCCGGTCTCGACTTCGGACTCCATCTCGGACTCCATCTCGGACTCCATCTCGGACTCCATCTCGGGTCCATCTCGGACTCCATCTCGGACTCCATCTCGGGTCCATCTCGGACTCCATCTCGGTCTCCATTTCGGGTCCATCTCGAGTCCACCTCGGACTCCATCTCGGACTCCATCTCGGACTCCATCTCGGGTCCATTTCGGACTCCACTTCGGACTCCAACTCGGGTCCATCTCGGGTCCACCTCGGACTCCACTTCGGACTCCATCTCAGACTCCATCTCGGGTCCATCTCGGACTCCACTTCGGACTCCAACTCAGGTCCATCTCGGACTCCACTTCGGACTCCAACTCGGGTCCATCTCGGACTCCACTTCGGACTCCAACTCGGGTCCATCTCGGACTCCACTTCGGACTCCAACTCGGGTCCATCTCGGACACTCCCACGTGCCATGTGTTGGTCCTTTTGGGTCCCTTTTTGGAGCCTCGCCTTTTGCTCGCTTTGTGCTCGTTCCTCGAGCACTTCGTTGGGAGTTCCACTCCCGCTCTTGACTTTTCAAGTCAGAGCTTTTGGTCCAAACGTGATACGCTCGTTTGGCTCTCGCTTCGGCCACTACCATGTGGCGCCCTTCCGGCTCCACTTTGGGGCCTAGGGATTTTGTGTCTCACAACTCCACCACCCATAGACGAAGTTCGATGTCCTCATCGAACGGTGAACCATTTTATAAAGTAACACCTGCATGTGTTACCATTTCCATCCTTGGCGCGTAGCCAATATTTGTCAATGGTGTGACATTGAAGGCTCACCATGCCTTCTCCATATTCGTCAACGGTTGGACATTGAAGGCTCACCATGCCTTTTGCATATCCTCTAAGGAGGGTAGTCTCTCCAACTTAGAGACTGATTGGACCACATATAGTGGTTCTCTCCTTTTATTGGTTTAGTTTTCGCTAAACCTCTTAGAGACCCTTCTCTAAGTCAATCCCACTACTCCTTCTCGAGTAGTCTCAATTTCCATCGATATAACCTTTGCACTTTGGAACTTTGAATTTTGACTTCTTGGAGTCAATTTCCTAGGTGTCTCCGACACCTTGCCTTGCACCTTTTGTGCAACTCCACTTCCCATCCTAGGAAGTTCTCTACTCGAGGGCACCATCATCCTCTCTTCTATTTCGTGCCAAAGTTCCAGTTATCATACTTTGTGCTAGGGCTGTTCATGGCCCTATCATTTGGCTACCTTACCGCTCCCTCCCTTGGAGCTTCCACTTTCGCCAAATCGGAGCATTTCGGAATCCCTCCTTGGAAACACACTTCCTTTCCCGCAACTTGTTAGCGTCCAACACATTAGTGTTCCTCGCCTAACTTTGTCACTTGGATTCCTTCCAAGGGATTCCACGGCCCTATCTTGGCCACTCATCTTTTGCTCCTATCCATTGATTGTTGCACCAAGCAACATCGAATCTCTACCTCCCTTCTTGAGGTATTGTTTCGGTTCCATAGCAAAGACTCTTCTTTGCCAAGTCCGGAGGATGTTCACCCCTAGTACGTCTCTTTAGCATCTTCTGCTATGGGCTCTATCCACGGCCCAACTTCGTGACCCTCCCATGGGTCTTTTATAGAGACTACTTTCCTCGGACTCACTATGCCATCGCACGGACATAGTTTATTTCCCTTAGGTGCTCTTCCCACTTGGTCATCACGACCAAGCCACAC